ACGGGGCAACCGTGCCACCCTCCTGGGAAGAGCTGAGGAGAGCCCCAAATGAGAGGTCACCCAGCAGCCACGGAGCAGAGGCCAGAGGGGGTTGCAGTGACGTGCCCGCGGGCTCTGCTGGCAGCCAGCTGTCCCAGAGAGGACCGAGCCTCAGGCCCAGAGGCCAGAGGGCACCCCAGGCCAGGCCCCGCCAATCGGCCACCAGGAGTGAGTCGGTACATACTTGAGCGCCCAGCCCCAGACACCAAGAACCACCAACACACCAACGTCTGAGGGCATCAGCCACCGGCAGGGAGTGTGGTGAGGGGAGATGGGCCTCCGTACCTCGGAGAGCCTGAGATGTTCCCAGGGAGGTGGAGTCTAAGACCCAAGCAGACATATAGACACAGACGAACAGGCGCACGCAGACACAAACGTGCATTCCCACCCCCATATACTCAGCACTCACGGAGACAGACACAAATAGACACTGTACACACAATCACACTCCCCACACATACTCTATATCCCAGGTCCAGGTACCCCTGCCCCCAGAGGGGCAAACCGTACCCAGACCCAGGAGATGTAACCCTTCTCACTGGGGTGGAGGAAAGCAGACCCCCTTAACAGAACGGGGGTGAGTGGAGACCCCAAACCTCCCTCCACCCGCTCATATGTAGTGTTGCTGCGTGCTGTTCTAAAGTGGATTTAAAACACAGGAGGGCATGGTGCTTCCTGCCAGAGAGCAGCACAGCTCCTCCCGAAAACCCTCAGTGTCCATATGCATTTAAAATTGAGGGTAGGGCACCAGCGCCAGAGGTGGGTTTGAATACACAGACCGTCCAACGGATGCTGTAAAACGTGCCCGCCCCCAAGGCCCTACATGTGTTGGAAATATTTCTAGAATAATTTCTATAATTGCGTATCCAGATTGATTAAAACTGTATATTAGAGCATTAATAGAAGCATTAACATGAGTCACTGCCAAATCTGATGCAAGGCAGTTCAACATGTTTGCGTATTGCAAGTTCTCAAGTTTTGTTGAGTTTGTAAGTAGGCCACAGTGTGCATTCCCTTTCAGTTATTTCTCTTCTCTGTGTGTTTAACCTGTTTATGTAAGATTAAACAAACTGAAAGTGGGCGACAGCAGCAGTGACAAACAGAAATTTAACGATTAAATGACTCCATGCCAAACTAGATTACCACGCAATGTTGATGACTGCGGCTCCGCTTCCCTATGCATACACCTCTGACTTTACAACATGACTCATCTGCCGTCCTGTATGCAGGAAAGTACTTATATAATCACCACAGAGACCAGCAGAGCCAGGCTGTCTGTCTGCAGATGCAAGGTGACGTGTGGTAACGAGCTGCAGTGGAAACAGACGAGAGCCGCTGACGAGGTCGCATCCAGACAACTCAGCAGAAATGAAACGAGCAACGAGCGAGGACCGATCATGACATCAGCACCACGCAAAAGATATGAATGATGGTACGCAGGTACACTTAGAGATATTTAAAACAAAAAAATGTTACTCAGCATCCAGGGAGTCTCTGATATGGTACACATGGCTGTGTAAGTGATGGGACGAGTGTAATGGAGAGCAGTGGAAAGGTACTGGTGCATGTTAGATTTGGAGACATTTACATTTTAATAAAGATATGTGATACTGAGATATTGATCCCAGCCAGTCAATCAGTCAGACTGGGCTGTATGATGATCTCCTGGCTGAGCTCTTATTAGTGGTTAAAAGATTTTTTTCGTAGCAGTTTAATTGCTAATGTCCGGCTTTGTTCCCTGCATGGGCCGTGCTTATTAGTGCAGGACGCTGGTGTGTGTGTTTTAGCACCGGTGTGTAAATGAATAGAAAAAAACGAATCACTGGAGAGCTGGGATGAATCTATAAAGAATTACAGCTCCTACAGAAGTTAATATCAACCTGTAGGGCTCAAGCTGATTTTAAAAAAGTGTATGAAGCAATATTTTGCAAACAACCTGCATGAAAAAAAGTCCAGCCTGAAAAGGTGTTGCTTGTAGCTAATGGCCATTTCAACTGAGACTCAGCTTTGAGCTACTGAAACGTGACAAATTCAAACTAAACACAGTTTTTAACAAACTCATGGACAGCTTCTGTTAGCCTGTAGAACTGCATTTAAACAACGACACGGCAAAGCGAGATACCGAAGCAGGAGAACAAAAAGAAACTAAGCCTACTGCACATGCACGCCACATTAACCTGCTGTGTTGTTCAACAACAACAAAAATACAGATTCATAATAAAGGCTCTAAAATTATTGCATTGGTTTATAAAAACAATTAATAACAGGTTTTGTAATTATTTACTATGTAAAATTACTCAAGTTTAGGCATCGCTGCTTCTTGGTTAAGTTTTGAGAAGAACATAGTTAAAATCAACTTTATCAGTTTTAACAGGCTGCCACATACAGCAGTTTCACAATTATCACCTTTATTATTTGTACTTTGGACCAGATCAGCTGTAACTAATAACAGCAAACAACTTAGTCAGGAGAGCTCAACGAGCTATTCAATTCATTTTCATTGATATTGCGCCAAATCACAACAGTCTCAAGGCTATATTGTAAGGTAAAGACCCAACCATAATACAGACAAAACCCTCAACAACCATATGACCCCCTATGAGCAAGCACTTTGGCGACAGTGGGAAGGAAAAACTCCCTTTTAACAGGAAGAAACCTCCGACAGAACCAGGCTCAGAGAGGGGCGGGGCCATCTGCTTGGGGTGAGGGTCAGTGGGTGAAGATATGACAAAGACATGCTGTGGAAGAGAGCCAGAGATTAATAATAACAATAAAAAATGCCACAAGGTCTATTAGCACATAGTGAGTGAAGAGGAGCGAATAAAGTACAAACTAATGCATCATGGGAATCCCCCGGCAGCCTACACCTATTGCAGCATAACTAAGGGAGTGGACTTTTAAATACTCTAGGAACAACAAGTAGGCCTGCAGAGCGAGAGCGAAGTGCTCTAATAGGGTGATATGGTACTACAAGGTCATTAAGATAAGATGGGGCCTGATTATTTAAGACCTTGTATGTGAGGAGCAGGATTTTGAATTCTGGATTTAACAGGAAGCCAAAACAGGAGAAATCTGCTCTCTCTTTCTAGTCCCTGTCAGGACTCTTGCTGCAGCATTTTGGATCAGCTGAAGGCTTTTCAGGGAGTTTTTAGGACTTCCTGATAATAATGAATTACAGTCGTCCAGCCTGGAAGTAATAAATGCATGAACTAGTTTTTCAGCGTCACTCTGAGACAGGATATTTCTAATTTTAGAGATGTTGCACAAATGGAAGAAAGCAGTCTTACATATTTGTTTAATATGTGCGTTGAAGGACATGTCCTGGTCAAAAATGACTCCAAGGTTCCTCACAGCGTTACTGGAGGCCAAGGTAATGCCATCCAGAGTAAGAATCTGCTTAGATACCATATTCTGTGAAGGTTCTCAGTCATCCAGGTCATCGTAGCCAAAGGAGCTTGCAAAGAAAACTTCTTTAAGTTGCTTGAAGACATTTCACCTCTCATCCGAGAAGCTTCTTCAGTTCTAAGGTCAAATGGCGGAGAGTCCCATATACCCCCACTGGGTTTAAATCTGGGACTCGGCTAAGCATCAGGCTTTCAAATGAATTAAAAGTCTGTCTGGGTCTTTGGTTGATTAATAGGCTGGTGTGAAAAATTGCTGCCACACCGCCCCCTCGGCCTGTGCTTCGAGGTTTCTGGTAGTTAGAATGACTCGGGGGTGTTGATTCATTTAAACTAACATAATCATCCTGCTGCAACCAGGTTTCTGTAAGGCAGAGTAAATCAATTTGTTGATCAATTATTAAGTCATGTACTAACAGAGACTTGGAGGAGAGAGACCTAATATTTAATAATCCACATTTCACTGTTTTACTCTTTGGTTCAGATGTGGATACTGTATTGTTCTTTCTTTGTAATTGTTTATGTTTAAGTTGTTTGTTGCTGGTTTTTAGTTTGTTTTTTGTCTGTTTGGAAGCTGACACAGTCTCTATGGAGATGGGTTTTTGGGGGGGGCAGGAGGAGAGAAGCTGCAGAGAGGCGTGTAAGACTGCAACTCTGCTTCCTGGTCCCAACTCTGGATAGTCAGGGTTGAACGCAGCACAGATAAGATCTTGTAGAAGCTTGAGTCTGCCGTGAGCACTCAGACTAAGATCTCTGAGCAAAAATTGGATAATATCTCGGAGAAGCTCACGGCTCTCCAACAGGAGATTGAGAGACCAGTGTCGGACTGCTAGATCGGCTGTGAAATTGACGTGCAGTTGTTCGGACTAAAGGAATACCGCCATCATTTTATGCGGCTACCATATCGGCACCAGCTGTGGTCTCAAGGCTGGAGCTGAACATCACCCTGATAACAGACGGTGTTTAGACTGTTCCTCCCTATCCTACGCAAGGCCACCCGGGTCAGCTGGAAGACTGTTTACTTAGCCTGGCAGGGCAAAGGACACTCTTTCAGCTAAACTCAGGACACACACACTTACATATTCACTGATACACACTCATCCCCCCTCCCTCTCCAAACGCCTTCGATGCTTGTCCCCTCCCGGGTCAGATGGCGGGTCGACTGGACCAGCGCAGAGATGCTGCATGCCGGATGCGCTGTCTACACCGGCTCTCTCTCACCTTTACCCACCCCTTTTGCTTGCCTTGTGTTTCTATGGTGTATTGACAGTGATGTGCTTTTTGTGCTGGGGCGTTTTTTTTTTCTGTTCTCAAACTGTCCAGGTCCTCCGAAGATCGAGAAAGCTGGAAGTGTAAGGCTGTGAAATGGGACAGTCTAGCCTTCAGATTTGCGTCACCAGCTGTCTCGGTAGAGTTTAATAAATGCAGCCGTCTGCTCCTTTCTTGCTAAAATATAACAGGACACTGGCGGAAATTCTCGACCATCTCACACTTCAGTTCAATCAGTTTTCTGTTTGACATTTATTCAGCTGTGTGAAAACTATAACTTTAATCTCAGCCAAACCAATTTAGTCACAAACAAAATAATACACAAAGCCAAACAATAACATTTTTAAGTTATCCTTATATATCATGTTTGACCTGAGTAGCCAAAGCCTGCGGGGGGTTTGAAAACGATGTAGCGGGAGTTCGCTGTTCTCGTCGGCTCTGGTGAGCCTTGACCTCCCAGCTAGCTATCAAGCTGGTGGGTAACAGATGTCTCTGAAAACGTCGGCGCACTTTTGCCAATATGTGATGTCTTGATAAACTAAGCAGACATTTGAAGCGTACTCAGCTACTTTCTCGCCTGAAAATATCTTAAAAGTTTATTTTGTGACCCAGAAAGAATAATAGGAGTAATATTAAAGCTAAGTAGCTGCCGCCATCGTTGGAAACTGGAATTGGCTGGGTCGCGTGATGAATTCTGTTATAGGTTGGGACACGAAGGATACACCCGACCCATCCTTCAAATCCGGGGACATGAAGGCCACATTTGTCGGAGTCTTCAAATTGGGACAGCTTTCGCTGTGATGTAATCGGTCTTCAAATGCAGCATCCGAAGGATGTGGGCCCTGAATTGGGAAGCAGCTAAACACTACCGGTCCTTCCTTGCACCATAGGCTATTGACTTGTGACAATGATAGAAGCACAGCAGCTGCTTGTATCACTAGTGAATATTTAATGAGTTAATGACATTTTAGCAAAAATGTCCAATTAAAAGCAATGAAAGGATCCTTTTCCGGAGCTGGTGCTCATTCCTGAACCACTTTGTATTTTGACAGCCACAGAGCTTTACCATAGTGCTGGTGTCGAACACCAAGAACAACAAAACCTTTCGGACACCCCCCCAACCAAAAAAAAAATAGAAAAAAAAACAAAAACAAAAAACAAAACAGACAGCTCTGTAGTGGCTCTCCTTTGGGTAGAGACACAAATCTGTTTTTCAAATATTTGCAAATCAGCACCCACTTTGCATTTATGAACAGGATGTACCACTGATCCATTAATTTGAAATCATTTCATAATATCTAATAATATATATAACATAATATATAGCCATCAACTAAAAAGAATGAGAAAAAACATCTAAATGCTGAATATATATTTTTTCCATTGGTCAGCTGTTCATCACAAATTACTGATAATTTAAATCCACTGAGAAGTCCAGGAGGCCCACCAACAGGTCACACATGAGCAAACTGAGCTTGAGCACCTTGGTTGAAGATCCATTAGGTGATCAATGTGTGCAAGTCTCACTAAAATCTGGCCGCTCTGGGAGGAGCAGCTATTCTTATGAACTGTGGAGGGACAGACAGGCAGACAACGGACCCCTCACCATCAAAGAAGCTCATCTGTCTTTCAGATGGATGAGCTAAAATCCTAAAATCTAAGCAGCTAATGTAACGTTTAACTGGACAAAATGAAGATTTAAAGTCTGATATTTTTCACGGTGAAGAACAAAGAAAGATAAGTTTCCATAAAGTTCTAACCATCGTACAGAAGAATAATACCTAAGCCTGCAAAACTCCTTTCATTTATATTTAACATCCTTTTTTTAACATCCCACAATGATTGTCACCACATCATTCAAGTCAAACTTCATGTGTAGAAACACATTATTAAAATAAAAGTGCTTCATGGATAATCATCAGATGATGAGAAGGTTCTACACAGGAAACAGATTTTATGGTCTAGTTTTTTTAAGCCTATTATGCTAATATGACTATATTACAACAATAAAACATTACGTATTCCCTCGGGCTAATATTAGCTGAATTAACAAACAACACTAATAAATTCGTACTGGACTGATTTGGGTTAATTGCAGCATATTGTCGTTTAGTGGTAGTGCAGAGTGTCCTAGGTAATAAACTGTTAGAAACATGGCACATTAGAAGTCCTACAGTATCTTATCAAACTTGATATTGTTTCCCTGCACACTGAGAGGACGGGATGGTTAGTATCGCTAAGGTTTGATCATTTACCTGTTCTCACCTATTGACTACATGGCACGGTGTTTTACCGACGCAGTTTTCCTCAGTTTCACTGGCAGTTTGCACTCAATGTGATGGAAAGTGCATCATAACCAAGATGAATACGTTGTAAAGCTGAAGGACTGTCGCTCAGGACGAATCTAAAAAAAGGTGATAAACTGCTGTGGAAAGACTTCTCATGCTGTGCTAACGCGATCTTTCACATCTCAATAAACATTTTCACAGCTAATTCATTTACAGCGAGAAAAAGTAGGAACACACTGAGAGACAAACAGGAAGTAATCATTTGCATTAAAACTCAATTAAGTGAAACCGTCCAAAATCTCTCTTGTCACTATTCACCATCATTAGTGCACAGCAGGAGGGCGTTTGGTTAAACACTGCATTTAGGAATAATACAGAGGTCCTTTACATCACTGCAAACCTCACCACATGACCAATTAAGATGAGTTTAGTGTGCACGGGTTGCAACTGCAATTCTGTACTGTTTAAAGGCAGAAACCTTCACATTACAAGGCTTTCAGATTAACAATGATTCAAATAATAAATATATGATATACAACGTAGCAAACTGGGCGGTCCTGTGTAATGGGCAGGTATGCCTGTTAATGCTTTTCCGCTTGTATCTGAGTATTATTAGTGTGGTGGTATTTGTGCTTTGCTTGAGTTAAAGGGGACCTATTATTTCTTATTTACTTCTTTCTGTCATGTACATTAAACATACCCAAGGTTTGAAATGATGAAGTCACCATGTGTACAAAAAAATCCCTGTAATCCCTTCTGAGCACTCAGTTTCTGAGCGTTTTACTACTTTTGGGCACAGAAGCCCCGCCCAACTGATGTTCAAGACTTTGGCTTATGAGGGGCAGCCAATCAGAAGAGCGTGGAGAAGAGGAGTTAAAGGGGCTGCACCAAGCAGCAGTACAAGATTAATAAGGGTTATTCTAACCTGTGAATCAGGCAAAGCTACTCTGCAAAAGTCTAAGCGAAATAGGTCCCCTTTAAGGATCTGAGAAGAGTCTGTCAGTAAAGAAAAAAACTGCAATCATGCAAAGATGGAAAAAAAAATCACGTGTTTCACAGACAGGCATTTTACATCTCTGAAAAAATAAAATATCCAACACTTTCATCTGTTCCACAGTTAAATATTAATAAGTTTTTAATACTGATAACACCACTGGACTCATGTTGTAAACCTTTGACATCGTGTCAAACGTCGTCGTGCTGCATACAAAACTTTGGATCAAAGCGCATTTTTTTATTGATAAATCAGCTACTACACGGGTGTGACCCCCTCCCACTCAATATGAGTTTACGTACACTGGGAGACTCTCGTTCCAGACTTGGAAAACAAACGTATTGCTTTTTAAATGTATAAACGGCGAAAAGGAGCTACAGACAAAACTGTGGGCAGCTAGCTATGAAATAAAGATATAGATCGGACTTTACAGCTATAAGTTGACTGGATGAACTCGTCAGAGGATTTGCTCATACAGCATACGGCGTTTTCTGCTCATAAAACATTACATTTGCTCGAGGGTTTGGGTGTCAAAGACGTCTTTTTTTTTTTAACTTGGCACTGCGACAGGAGGATACGACCCCCCCGCTATCAAACTTGGCAATGAGACAGACTTTTCACTTTTTCGTCTTTGATTTTCTTGGCACTGAATCAGAAAAATGTCTTTCTTACTTTCTTTCTTTAGGAAAAGGAAAAAAAACAGGAAGGAGAGGAAAAGAGGAGGAGCTTGAGGGAGTCAAAGCTACAGAGTTAAACACAAAGAGAAGATGGATAAAAGAGTGTACACAAAAAAAGATGAGAGACGACACAAAGGGCTCCACTGTTGCTCCCTTCATCACCGCCTTCATCAGCTTCCTCTCGCTCAGAGGGGAAGTCACCGAGTGTGTTTACGTGCACTGTAGTTATTAAGGCAATACTGCGACTCCTGAAACTGTCGCATGAAATCCAATTATTTGAGTTCTTCGTGATCTGAGCAACAGTACATGCAGACCAAGCTTCCCTCCTTTGAAACCAGACATGTCTATTTATGGATTTCTTTTACCTGAGCAAACGTCTTGGCTCAGTGCAGGCAGCTAATTAAATGTGACAGCGATGGGACAGCAAAGCTAGCGAAGCAGTAACTGCAGGTTAGGTTTACTGGAGCTAACCGGAGTTGGGTGTAGCCTCATTTGTGGCACCTTGTTCTGCGGTGCACCATATTACCTGTGGATGGCTCAAATGACAATAAAAGCCACTTGATGTCACTTTGATCGTAAAGCATGATTTGTATGCATGCACTGCTGATGTCACTGACAAGGCAAGCTAACATAACTTTGATCAACAGTTAGCATGGCGAGCTCACGGTCTTTTACTACCGTTCTTTTACTTATTAACGAGAAAACCTCCTGTATTTTGCATTTGGACCCTTTGACGTGATCTGATTGACTGACTGGTCTCACATGCTCCTTACAGTGAGTGACATTTTAAAACCTTGGCTCCAGGCTCAGATATCTCCTTTCAAAGACCTCTGTAGAGATGGCTCTTATGGCGTCACGCTAAGCTAAACAGCTTAGCAGAGCTTGGTCTGCGTGTAGGATCAGATCAGAAGTAGTCATCATATTCGTGAATTAAGAACCCTTTCATTAAGCATATATAGTAGATTGTGGTAACGGCTACGTGACATCATGAAAATATTGCCTTAAAGCCGATCACCTCCTGTGATCAGAGGACTGATGTGCATGTAAACATACTCCAGATATCACTGATATCATTTATGATCTCTGAGGACTCTTGCAGCTGCTGTGTGCACATCTGTGTGTATGTGTGTGTGTCTCTGTCCAAGTGCACTGTACACATCAGGAACCAGGGTTCTCCCTAAAACTGGATCGTGGGGAGGGGGGGAGCACTTGAAGAGTTTTCAGTCATGATGGCTGCTTCACATCTTAAGTGGTAAAAAGGGCCAAAAATTACTCTCCTAATACGGCCGCTTTTATACATTTCTCTTCACATGACCTTATACATCAAAGTGCTAAGTCTCAGTTTGGCCTCCTTCAGCTGTCAGACTCCAAAACAGTACAAACTTTCCCTGATGTACGTCGGTACGATTTTATTCGTGCTGCTCACACTCGCTCCACTGTTGAAAGTGTGTGTCAACAGGATGTTAACGTAAGAAAAGAAGCAGTTATAAGGAGAACCCAGGGTGCAGTATGTAGGCAACAAAACAAAGAGCAAACTCGGGACTCCGGTGGCCGGCCACTGTGCAACCAGTCGAGCAGCCAGTGTTTACTGAAGAGGAGCTCCGAATGATGTGTGGTTACCTGCCAGAGTGACTCGTACTGTTCACGAACTCGCTAACAAACTATCGGTCCCATAAAGACCTGATGGGTCTTCGTCCTTCGTTCCAAAGAGTTTGGTGTGGTGACAACATGCAACAACCAGAGGCCTGCGTATACAGAGTTGGGACACAGATAGCCCCGCAGCTTGTCGTTGCATTGAGCGCTGTCCAATCCTCGCCGAACTCTTTATACAGCAGGCTCTCGACGCAGCGTTGCCAGGAAACGGCGGGGTCATGGCTTCATGCTCGGACAGGGAGGATAAACCATTAAAGTCCCCGTTCTGACCCGAACTAGGAGACGAGGGGAAGAGTTTCCTTTCAGACGGAGGTTAAAAAGCGCCTGACGAGTTTAAAATTATGCACAAAACTGCAGACTCATCGCCGGCGTTCAGCCGAGTCACCCTGTGAACCAGCTGAAGCAGGTGTGAGCTCTCCAGGTAGGTCAGACTGCAGAGGTGATGATCGGTCCTTGTGGTTTTAAAGCTGCAGAGCAACTTTTACTGTCTGACTCAAGGTGTGTAAGAAAATGTGTCGCCAGATTTAAAAGAAAAGAGATCGGATCAGCAGCAGAGTTGCAAAGACAGCTTCATTGTTTTCTTTTAAAGCTCCAGTTTTCTCCACAAACAGGCTTTTAACGAGGAAGTTTTAAATGAAGGATCGCCGGATTTACTCCATATCTTCTCATTTCACACGTCTCTTTTTTTACTCCACAGTTTTCTTGCTGTTTGGTGGTCAAACGACAAAAGAGGAAGAGAGAGAGAGACAGAGAGAGAGAGACAGCCATGGTGGACGGAGGACAGGGGCTCATAATTACCCCTCAGTTTACCCTGGGACAGTTGTGTGGGGCGGAGCTTTCTCATGGTCGCCCCTGGTTACCTAGATGAGGGGCTACTGCACTCGGAGGCGGGGCAACAGAACTGATGGGCGATGTCATCATCTTCCTCCTCTCTGAGAGACAGACAAACAGACAAGAGAAACAAAAACAGAGAGGAGGAAGAGGAGGAAGGAAAGGAGGTGGAAGAGGAGGAAAAGGATGGAGCAGGGAAAAGCAAAAGGGAAGAATAAAGGATAGAGGAGAGAGTAAGGGATTACGGAGGAAGGAGAAGAAAAGAGAAAGGCATGGGAAGGACGAAGAAGGAAAGAAAGGAATTAAGAGAAGAGGAAAGGGACACAGGAAGCAGAAGGTGAGAAAAGGATTAGATGGGAGGGGAGACGAGGAGAGAATGATTGAGGACAAAGAAGAAGGAATAAGAAGACAAGAGAGTAGTGAGAGTGGAAGGAGACAAGAAGAGAAAAGGGAATAGAGGACGGGGGGTTGGATCGAGAAAATAAGAAAAAAAGGTAGAACAGGAAGAGGAAGGAGGAAAAGGTGAAAATATGATGGGGAAGAGCGGAGGAGAGAAAAGGACGGAGAAAGAAGAGAATCATCAGAAAAGAGGGGATAAAAGCGGAGACTGTGGTGGGCTCTGAAGTTCGGACGTGCAGTGCAGCAGATGGCCACCAGATGTCAGTGTTTACACATGGCTAACTGAAGGACTGACCTTCTGAGTTGAACTTTTTCTCACAGAGGTGAAGCAGCGTTGCCCCGGGACACAATTAATCTCTAATATTACAAACTTTACACAGAGTCAGAAGTGACAAAACTTAGTTCTGAGCCTGCATGTTTTTCCTTAGGGGGAGAGGACAGTGATGGAATGAGGCAAGGATGAAGGTGGGGTGAATGGATGATGTGAGCCGAGGGGTGAGGTGATGAGGAAGTCGAGCCGTTTGGTAATTCTGAGATGGCATCCGGTGCAAAATAAAACACATTAATGCAAATGTAATGCTAGTGGAAAGTACAAATTGGTGCGATAACGACTGTGGCTGTGATTTTTAAATCAGGGCAGAAATTCATCACTTTGATCCCATTCAGCAGCTTTATGTTCCTCGGTCTCATTTAAATAATCGAGCTGCAGACTGAGGATGGTGGAGATCACCAGAGGTGGAAACAGGAAGAAAGAGCGAGTCCAGATTTCTACACAAACCTTTTAAGTTTCAGAGTAACATTTAAAATATGCAGCAGAAATCAGAGTTATTGTTTAATTCATAAATGTGTGGATAGTTTGGTGCCTGTATTTGTGCAGGTTGGAGCCCAGCAGGCTGATGCACACAGTGTACAGAAGTGAATGTGAATTATGCAAATGGTTTAAATCAAC